TCCTTCCTCCAATTCCGACCCATTCCCCAAAGATAACCACTCTTTGGATATATTCTTCTATACAGAAAGAATTGTGTGTGCCTATAGATATTTTATATATAGATTTAACTAAGACCACGCTAATCATATTCTATAGCTTGCTTTTCCCCCTACTTAATACAGCTGACATTTCCATGAATATAATATAGATATTGTTCATTCTTATTAATGGTTCCATAGAAATCCATTTTATGGATAGAACATTTTTAAGTAATTAGCACTTTTGAATGGTTTTTCTTTTTTCTTCCTTTCTTCTTTTTTCTTTATTTCTTTCCTTCTTTCTTTTTTATTTTTTTTGCTATTATAGTCTGAATTCTGATATTAATTTTTGAGGTAATGCTTTTGGAATCTCTACTTGGTAATTACCTGGTATATTAAGCACCATAAGTTCTGAAATAGTATTTGGCAAAGTATATAGTAATTTTAAGGAACTAATAAAATTATTAAAATAACAAAAACATAAAAACAGTAAGAAAGAAAATATAACAATATAAGGAATAAAAATATAACAGTAATAAAATAAATTATAAATTCACATTTTTTCTGGGCGTATATTGAGGCCTCCATAAGGAAATGCCATTAGAAATTTACAAGTCTCTTTAAAATACTTTCGATGGCTGCTTTTGATGATTGGTTATTTTGGATTGCTACTAGTCAGAAGGTGATTTTTGTTTCCCTATCTGTGATTTTATTTGCAGCAAGGAAACTGAGTCATTGCATCAAGGAGAGGAAGAGCTATTTTCCCGATCAGACACTACAAAATTTCTTAGAGCCTTACAGGTAGGTTTAGTGGTGTGCTGGTCAATCTAACAACCCATTCCACCTTCCTCCCCCAACCCAAAAAGAAAGAAAGAGAAAGAAAGAGAGAGGCCCTCATTTGTAGTGTTTGCTGTAAATAGTCCCACCGCGGCTGATTTCAAGTAAACAACATGACATCAACCAGATTGCATATTTTCTGAAAATTTAACAGTTGGCTCTCACTGGTTTGACCTGACTCCAGCACACACACCCTTGGGTTGCTTTGCAATGATTCCTCTGTTCTTATCTGTGGAATGCAATTAGAGCTAGCTTCATGGGCATGCAATCTGTGCAGTCATTACAGGGCCCCATGCTTTGTTTAATGCTCTGCTGTTACCATTTTGAAATTCTTAAAGACAGGGTATTGCTCTGTCGCCCAGGCTAGAGAGCAGTGGCGCCATCATAGCTCACCGCAGCCTTGACCTCCTGGGCTCAAACGATCTTCCTGCCTCAGCCTACCAAGTAGCTGGGACTACGGGTGCACACCACCACGCCCAGCTTTTTAAATTTGCTTTTTTGTAGAGAAGAGGATTTTGCTATGTTGCCCAGCTGATCTCAAATTCCTGGCCTCAAGTGATCCTCCTGCCTTGGCTTCCCAATGTGCTGGGATTACAGGCGTGAGCCACTGCACCTGGCCCCCAGTAGCTTTTTAAAGTGTGGTTTTCCAGCACTGACATTCTAGGATTCCCTAATTGTAAGTTAAATTGCCTACGAAACCTAAGTCCTCCTACCCACTTTTTCAACTAGTTTTGTGCTCAGATACTGACATGCATGTAGAACACACACACACACACACACACACACACACACACACGACACACACACACACACACAGGACTCTGCTCTTTGCCTTTTAGAAATTCAGTGTTTCTAAAGGAGTGTGGCTCAGCTGTGGTCTCTGAAGTGCGGCAGTTATGCTGACCAGGGAAGACTCTGGCCACAGCCAGTTTAAAGCGGGGGCTAGTTGTGGTGGTGCTGGAAGTGGGGGGATTTGGGGGGCAACACCTCACATCACCTACATTCTCACAGACTCTCAGGGACTGAAGCTGTCTTAAAAGTTACTGGGCAACCCTGCCCCTCTCCAACAAGTGCTGGGTAAAATAAAACTTAGTGAAACATCTCATGTTTCATATGCATCTCAGGCAGGGGTTTTCTTATTTGAAAGGACACTGCCAGTAATTGGATTTAATGAGAAAAAACTCTTTGTATTTCAAGCAACATCTCCTAATTTGTTTTAAAAAAACATCAGAGCCAGGTGCAGTGGCTCACACCTGTAATCCCAGTGAGTCAGGAGGCAGAGATGGGAGGATCTCTTGAGTCCAGGAGTTTGACAGCAGCCTGGGCAATATAGCGAGACCCTGTCTCTAAAGAAATTAAAAAGCATTAGCCAGTGCAATGGCACGTGCCTGTAGTCCCAGCTACTCAGGAGGCTGAGGCAGAAGGATTGCTTGAGCCCAGGAGTTCGAGGTTACAGTGAGCTATGATTGTGCACTCTGCACTCTGCACTTCAGCCTGGGTGACACAGTGAGACTCCATCTCTAAAAAAAAAAAGAAAAAAGAAAAAAACCCACAAAAACAAAAAAACTCCAAATCCCCTAAATCAATATTTTTGACTGTGGCTTAGGGTTTTCTTGAAGCTCTAGAGGCTTGGCTTTCTATTGAGGAGACCTAACAACTGCTTCTTTTTAAGGCCTTACTGGATACACAGTTTCCTTTGGGGCTTTCTGCTGTGGGCTGAGGGCTGAGGATGCTGGGAGGTGATGGTGGTGATGAAGAGGGAGGAAGATGCAGAGAAGACAGGGCCTTAGAGTTTGTTTTAATTTTGTATTTAATTATACAAAATGTTAATGTAGGCCCAAAGCAAATTCTGCATTGCCTCCTTGTCTCTCTTCCTTTATCGAGTACCACTTTTATTTGTTTTATGATTTATCCTATTGGTACTTTTGAGAAAAACCAACCCATATCTCCCCTTTATTATAAAAGAGATAGTTTAGGTTATTAAGAATGAAATGTTTGATTTCCTTAAGTACTGTTTGACAGTTGATATCTCTGACGCTTCACTCTGACTCTTAATTGTGAAGGTGCATCCTCATTCTTTCAAACGCATGGTTTGGCTTGAGATTATCTTTCAAATTTTTTTAGAGCAGTTTTTGTGAAACCATGGATAAGTAAAAAATTCGTGTTATTTTCACGAATTTTCACGTGTTATTGGTTCCCTCGTGGAACCAATGCAGCACAGACAGTTCTAAATATTAATGAAGTGTTTGGGAAGGATGTGGCTAATGAACACAAAGTACATCGATAGTTTGAGAAGCTCCGTTCTGGTGAGTTTAATCTTGAAAATGAGCCACGTGAGTGACCTGAGACCAAGGTGGATAATGATGAGCTGAAAGCTGTAGTGGAAATGAATCCATCTCAACCTACACATGAATTAATAGCAAGATTTGACGTTACTATTCCAACAATATTGGACCATTTGAAACAAATCACCAAGGTAAAGAAGCTGGATAGATGGGGACCACATGAATTAAACGAGCATCAGAAGAGAAATCGTCTTGAAGCTTGCCTTTCTTCACTGTCATGACATAAAGGTGAACCATTTCTACACTGTATTGTTATGTGTGATGAAAAATGGATTCTTTTTGACAATCGCAAGTGTTCAGCACCGTGTGGATAACGATGAAGTGCCAAAACACAATCCAAAACTGAATATTCATCAAAAAAAGCTAATGGTGTTCTGTTTGGTGGTCCAGCGCTGGTATTATTCACTGCAGCTTCATGAAACCTGGTCAGTCGGTTACAGCAGATGTCTACTGCAATCACTTGGATGAAATGATGAGGACGCTTGTGATTAAGCAGCCAAGATTGGTCAATAGGTACCAGCCAATCCTCTCACAAAACAATGCTCAACCACATGTTGCACAAACAATGCTGCTCAAGCTACAGAGGCTGGACTTGGAAACTCTCTGTCACCCACTGTATTTACCAGATCTTGCACCAACTGACCACCGCTTTTTCCAGAGTTTGGACCGCTTCTTGCAAAGACAACTATTCATTTCTCAACAAGCTGTGGAAAACGCTTTTCAAAAACGCTTTTCACCATCACCACTCACTCTCCAAGCTTCTTCGCTGCTGCATAAACAAGCTACCATTAAGATGGCAAAACTGTGTCGATAGTTTAGGCACATACTTTGATTAATTGTACTGCTTCTTGTTTGAGATATAATAAACAACACTTCTAATTCAAAATCGGACATTTCATATTTAATGGCCTAATAGCCTACTAAAGTACTGTTCTTCACTTTGCTTCCTTCATGTGGCAGTATCTCCTGAAGAAGAAAGAGTATAGAGATTGTCTTTGGCATCCTATAGGCTATTTCCAGTCCTTAGTTATTCCAATAATGCTGCAAAGAATAAATGCTCTGGTGCACATGTCATGTTGTATTTTTTGCCAGTGTGTCTTTGTGAAGCTTCCCTTTGGAAGGGGGAAGTTGATTCTCCTCCTGTCTCCTGTCAATGCCCTTTTCTATGGCTGGGGATTAGATGTCT